TCACACAAACACACACAGAGACACACACACAGACACACAGAGAGACACACACAGAGAGAGGCACACACACAGACACACACAGACACACACACACAGAGACACAGAGAGAGAGAGAGAGAGAGAGAGAGAGAGAGAGACACACAAAGAAGGGGGTGGGGAGAGAAAGAGATGCCCAAGATAAAGAGCTATTTTATGTGCCTTTCCTACCCAGGCTGCTTGGGGATCACAGCGCTGTTCTCAGTTTTCTGGGTATATCCACTTTAGGCCTTTCAAGAACCAAGAAGATCCCTTAGGTGGCTGTTACCAAAAGCTTCTAATGTGACTTATTCTTTTTACACCAAGTTTCATGTCTTCCTCCCTTTTCTCCCTGTTCAGTTTACCAAGACTCTGCAGGATCTGCTCAGTGACCTTCATATACTCAAGAGCACTGTTGAAACTGTTCAGAAGGATGTGGACACAATTAAGTTCATATTTGAAAAGGTAGTCATCCCTCTACCTTCACTCTATCAGAAAGGGAGGAGAAAGGTTTAAGTCACCCTAGCAAACCATTTGCCCTGCCCCCCTGAACTTTCTGTGATTCCCTCTACACAGTCCTCCCTCTGCTGTGCTAAGCATCAGGCATCAGTAACAGAAACCCACTTCATCTTGACTTAGGAAAAATAATAGAATTTATTAGTTGTTACTTTCTAAATTGCTTAAAATGCGTGGTGGTGGGGGCTGGGTGGATATGGGTGGGTGGTGTATGTGTTTTAATGTTTTGTGTATGGGTGTTTTGCCCACCTTCATGTCTGTATGCCATGTGTGTGTCTGGTACATGCAGAGTTCAGAAGAAGGTGTCAGATCCCTAGAACTGGAGTGACAGATGGTTGGGAGGTTCAGGGCTGCATGAGTATTGGGCAACTGCAGAGTTAGGTTCACCGCTTTCCTTTCACTGGAAGCACTAGCCACTCTAAAAAGCAGGTTAAATCTAGCACAGGCACAGGAGCTCCTACTACTCCATGTCATCAGCTTGAGCACGTCCCAGCCTGCCATGGAGCGACACAGAATCCCTGGAGCAAGAGGCAGCAGCCTCCAGACCACAGCAAATGAAGTCGAGCTAGGGCCGGGAGCCAGCTCTTTACCTGCAAGCTACAAAGTGTGGCAGCTGGGCCATTTGCCCCAAAGAGTGATTTACTGTAACATTTGAGCCTTGGGCTAATCTGGGGTTGGGTCAGGACCACGAAATGCCAGAAAGAACACCTTAGGGCAAGTATATCTGAGAAATAATTTCTCCTTGGCTCATCCCTTGCAGATCCATTGTCCTCAGTGTCAACCTGCTCTGTAACAGGGTACCTTGTAGCCCAGCCTGGCCTCCCGTAGTTGAGACTGGCTTAGATCTGATTCAAACGCTCCACGTCACAGCATGTATCGCCACTCCTGGCTTTATGCAACACTGGGGATCGAGCTGAGGGCTCTGGATATGCTTGGCCAGCATATTACCGGCTACACTGCCACCTCTCCTCTCCACAAGTCTATTTTTCCCATGATTCTCTGTGAGCTTCATGTCATGCACCCAACTCATGCTAACTTCCCAGTCCTTTTCCAGTCCTTCCATGTCTGCTCTGCCACCCTTGCCTCTCTTGAAGATCCATTAAAAAAAAAATTATTTATCTATTTTATGCATGTGAATACTTTGTTGCTGTCTTTAGACACACCAGAAGAGGGCATCAGATCCTATTATAGATGGTTGTGAACCACCATGTGGTTGCCAGGAATTGAACTCAGGACCTTTGGAAGAGTAGTCAGTGTTCTTAGCCCCTGAGCCATCTCTCCAGCCCCCCCACCACCACCACGGGGTTTCTTAATGATCTACTTATTTATGGTCCTGAAAAATTCAAAGATTGTTAAATACTTTGTAACCCAGCATTTCCCAAACTTTTTTTTTTTAATTTATGGGAAATTCCATCCTTCGGTTCCAAATTCAGTTAGCTAATATCATGAGAAGCAGCCAGGCTGGGACGGGAATCCGAACCCCAGCCTCAGGTTCAGTTTCTTGGACAGGTAAACCCACAAAAAGTGGAACTTCTCGGTGACGACTTGAAAATACAGAACCGGAAGTTGGGTGCCCTGCAGCGGGAAGTGGTAAGATCTTTGGTTTCCAGTCTCTTGCCCTGTGCACTAGAGGCTACAGTGAGTTTGGAGAACAGCACTTTCTGGAAAGGGTTTCGGTGAGCAGGCAAGTCCCCCCAGAGCAGGTGTGGCAGCTATACTCATGCTATCCCATCCCCCACCCTGCCCTACCCCATCATCCATTCACTTTCTCCATCCCACTACACAGGTTACCCTCCAGAACAAGGTTCGTGCTGTCCCCCAACCTGAGGAGTTGGTGCTCTGGAGTGGCCTCCACGAGGCCATGTTCAGTCCGGTGAGTGGAAAAGGAAGACGGGTATAAAGGGCGGGGGGTGGGAACAGACCAACCAGCTCAGCTCCTTCCCCTGCAGGAACAGCAAAAGCTGGAAGTGGAGCCGTCAGGTGTATGGCCGAGCATGACCTCTCTTCCAGAGTCTCCTGAGGATGCTGGCTACATTCATGTCCCCATCCACAGTGCCACCCCTATACCTACCGTGAAGCAGCTTGGAACCACAGCTGTCCTCAGGCACGAGGAGCTCACTCGGGCTGTTGGACTCCCCGATTCCCAGGGGATAGAGCAGGCTCAGGCTTCTGTGTCTCAGACACAGAGTATGAGACAGCCTGTCCCTGTCCCTGTCCCTGGATTCGCGCCTGGGCCTGGTTTCATGCCAGTCTATGGGCCTAGACCTGGAACGGTTCCTCCAGGTGCATGGTCCTTACCGCCTAGAGGCTGGGCTAGGGCTTGGCCTATGTGGGATATGGGTCCCTACCAGCCTGGCCTAGGGCCATTTCGCCCTATGGGCCAGATGGCCAGGGCTCGTTTCACAACCGTAGACACTGGAATACCGTGGAGTCAGCCACTGCTGCAAGAGATCCACCGGCTCCCAGATGTTGAAGAAAGAGGGGATGAAGATGAGGAATTCTATATGGAAGGCTATCAGGAAGAGATGCTTATGGATGAGGCACCCCAGGAAGAGATTGCTGAGTATGGGGCTCTCGAGGAAGAGATCCCTACTGAAGGGGCTCCCCAGGAAGAGCCTACAGACGGGGCTCCCAGGGGAAGAGCTGCTCGGGAGAGGGTTTCCAAGGAAAAGGTCTCCAGGTACAGAGCCCCCAAGAGGGCTTCCCATCATAAAGCCCCTAAGGATGTGACTCCCCAAGACGGAGTCACCACAGATGAGATTCCTGAAGTCAAAACCCTCAAAAAGATGATCTACAAAGACAAACCCCAGAAGGACAAGGCCCCGGAACCACGTCGTAAGGGCCCTCCATCTGCCCTAAAGAAGTTGAGGTCTGCTGTTGCCATAGCTGCAGCAGCTGCTGCCGCCTACGCAGCCGCAGCAAACTCAGCTGCCCAGGTAGCCAAAGATGCCGTCAAGGCCGTCCAGGATGTTCCTGCAAGCCAGCTGGCTGCCAAAGCAGCACTCATAGCATCATCAGGGCCTTTAGGGGCCTTTGCAGATTTCCTGGGTGCAGGATTCGGCCGTGGGGCTACCGCGGGCATACCCTTTGGTGAAGATGAGATGGAAGAGCTTCCTGAAGAGTTTGCAGCACCCTTTAACCCCTTTACACCCAAACCAATCCTGTCCCAGGCCATGGTGAATGCCATGCAGGCTACAAGTCCTGAAGAAAAGAAAAAGGCTGTACAGTACTCCATGAGCCATATTGCTCAGATGCCTACCAGACATGACTCTCTGAAAGAAGAGTTTGCCAATCTGTCAACCACCTTAAACCAGCGCTTAAATTACCTAGGTAGGCCTGGGGAGGGCAGCAGAGGCTGCCATCCTCCCTGTAGCCTGCCTCCTTTGGCTTCCTCAACAAACTGCTTTCAAACATTAGCCACTCATTCCTTTGGCTTAAGCACTAGTGTCTCTCTGTCTCTGTCTCTCTGTCTCTCTGTCTCTCTGTCTCTCTGTCTCTCTGTCTCTCCATCTCTCCGTCTCTCCCTCTCTCCCACTCTCCCTGTCTCTTTCTCTAAGACAGGGTTTCTCTGTGTAGCCCTGGCTGTCCTGGAACTCACTCTGTAGACCAGGATGGCCTCCAACTCAGAGATCTGTCTGCTTTTTCCTCTGAGCACTGGGATTAAAAGCATGCACTACCATGCTTGGTTCACAAAAGAATTCCTTGTGTGCATTTCTTTAAAACTGTAATAGAAAATCTCTCATTCTGTTTAAGTGCCCCCAGACTTACCCACTGTCTTCCTTTGGGACATGGCACAAGCATGGCAGCTCTCTCCAGTCACGTTCCTCCAGCATTCCTCTTAACAGCTGCACCTTCTTTTTACTTTCAGCTAACATGGGAAGCTCCGGTGTGCTTGGTAACACAGTCAATGTACTGGAGGAAAAGATTGTCAACCTCCAGAAGGCCAGGCTGCAGGTCAGCATCATGATCACAGAGGGGTTTTTGAGAAGATGCTGGCTTGCCTTGAGCCAGGATCCAGCCTCTTGACTATCACCTTCCCAGTAAAGCTCTGAAGAAATGCTTGGGGTGGCACAGCAGCTGCATCCGTGCAGAGTTAATCTGGGGGCTCTGTTGTCTCTGTCAATAAGTATTTCATGTGCTGTCAGATGACAGACTGGTGTACACAGGCTTGGTATCCCTTCTTGGTCTCAGGACCCTTCCACTTATAGCAGCATCAGAAGCAGAGGCCTTGGATGTCACTATCTCTCCTGTTCTCCCGTTTAGGAAGAAGAGCTGGAGAGAGTTTGGGGCCACCAGATAGACACGATGAAGAGTCACTACATGGTGCTGGACAGGGCAGTGGAAAGGCTTCAGATTCGCATGGATGACTTGAAGGTTCGGAGGTCTGAAGACCAAGAGAGAGGCACAAGAGAATTCCTCCCTGGGACTATGAGACCATCCCCTGAGGGTCTACAAAACACAAGAGAACTAGACAACAGTTTATTCTGCATAAATTATACTTCAATTAAAAACAAATCCCAGGGGCTGGAGGGAGTTAAGACCACTGGCTTTTGCAGAGCATCTGGGTTTCATTCCTTGCATCCACGTGGCACCTGTAACTCCAAAGCTGGGCAGTGGTGACACACACCTTTAATCCTAGCACTCAGGAGGCTGAGGCAGGTGGATCTCTGTGAGTTTGAGGCCAAGCTGGTCTATAGAGTTCCAGGACAGCTGAGGATACAGAGAGAAACCCTGTCCAAAAGCAAAACAAAAAACAGAAGCCACACAAACACCTGTAACCTCAGGATTCAGTGCCTCTTCTGCATCCCATGAGCACCACGCCTGTCTGTGGTACCCATACATGCATGCAGGTAACACGTTTATATACGGGAATCTTTTTTAAAAGAATCACCCATACATGAACGGCTTGGAGAGTGTCCATTCTGGAGAGCCTTTGTGTCATCAACCTGAGGGTAGAAGGACAGACTTAAGGCTTAGTAACACTTGCCGAAGGGGTCAGAGAGTGCACAAGGGGCTTTCTTGCAACAACAGTTACGTTCAAATGTTTTCCCTCAACCAGTTCTTCCTCCCTCAGGCTCGAAAATAGAACCCAGGGCCTCATGTATGCTAGGCAAGCACACTAGCACTGGGCCAGGGAAAGCAACTAAGTGAGAGTCTAAACTGGGGGCTTTTTCCCCCACACCTCCCTCTTTTGTTGGTGACCTTGGAAAACCATCTGGGGATAAGATGGATGTGGTGATGACTTGGTGTGGGTTACAGTTGAGCTCAACTTCAGAAAACATAAGAATGTCCACGTAACCGACTTAAGGTATAAATATATTTATCTTGCATATTAAAAAATTCAAGCGGGTGGGTGGGGGATGGGGTAAGGGGACAACATAGGAAATGTAAATAAAACATCCAATAAAAATTAAAAAAAAAATTCAAGCGATTGGTCTAGAGCTGGTAGAGTGTTTGTTGGTGTTGCATACACAAGCTCCATTTTCTAGTCCCTTGTGACTGCCATTCATAATGTCACCTCTTGGACCATGATGGCTGTCTCTGATCACACTGGGACTCCATCCATTAACTCTTATGTTCGAGCCAAGTGGCAGAGGGTAGGGGATGGACACTCTAGGTGAGGTGGTAAGTGCTTGCCTAACATCCACAGAGCCCTGAGCTCCATCCTCAGCACTACTTGGACACACGAAGGGTGGGTGAAGAAGGTTAACCACACCCACTGGCCTCCGCTTACATCCCAGTCAGAATAAATGCAAGGCAGGCTGTAGACTGCAGTCCTGATCTGAGCAGCTAAGTTGGGAGTTTTCCTTATGGGTGAGGGAGACCAGAAGTGAAGAGAGAAGAAGCCAGTGTACGGCCTGAGAGAAAAAGTGACTCTAGGCTCTGGGGACAAGAGAGGCCCTTCCCAAGCAAGTAAGGTGCTGTTCTTGTCAGGGGAAAATAGATTAGTAGGGGACAGGCCAGCACTAATAGAGGATTTCATGAAATTATCTGATGGGAAGTGAGAGTTTCCCTTTCATGCTTGGACACTATGTGTGGTCTGTGACTTTTAGCAGCGTACACTGGGAGCCCACTGTAGGTCGGATCACCAGCCCTGGTCTGTGCTTCTTTTGGGTTGACACCTTCTCCAAGGATTTTTAGCTTGTTCCTTGCTCTTGCTCCTGTTCCTGCAGCCTGTGAGCATGAGCCTTCTAACAGCCCCGCCCGCTTCTTGTCCACCCGGCAAAGTTGGAGACACAGAGTAGTTGTTGTGACCTCAAGGTCATGACAAAGGCTGACTTGCTTGTGTTCTGTTCTTAGATCCTCAAGGCTGAAATTGAAAGGCTGGATCTGGTTAAGGCAGATAAAAAAGCAATGGCTCTGGAGCTGAATGAGGTAAGCAGAGACCTCCCCCCAGCCACCCAGATTTCCTCTCTCTGCTAATCCTGAGCCTCTGATTTGCCAACCCCGGGGAACAGAAGCACCCAGGTAGAGGCAGCGGGAGCATTCCTGCCTTTATTCATTCAGGAAACCCCACTTCTCTCAGAAATTACCCCCCACCCTCTTTTCCATGACTGGAGACTGGTGACACTATTATTTTAAAAATCAGGCATCTGGTCAGGTGTGGAGACACACGACACTTGGGAGGTAGAGTCTGTGACTTTAAGGCCAGCCTAGTCTACAAAGTGAGTTCCAGGCTGGCCAGGGCTACATAAGGAGATACTGTCTCAAAAAAAAAAACCAAAAACAAAAAAAAAAAAAACAAGATTTAAAAAAAGAAAATCAGGCATCAGTCTGGGGATGTAGCTCAACCGGTCAAATGCCTTCCTGAGATGCATGAAGGCCTGGGTTCTATCCCCAGCACCACATGAACTGTGCATAGTGACAGGTACCCATAATTACACCACAGAAAGCAGAAGAACCAGAAATTCAAGGTCATCCTGGACTATGGGATACAAGGCCAGCCTGGTATACATGAGACTCTGTCTTAAAAAAAAAAATCGCCAGGCGGTGGTGGCGCACGCCTTTAATCCCAGCACTTGGGAGGCAGAGGCAGGCGGATTTCTGAGTTCAAGAGTTCAAGGCTAGCCTGGTCTACAGAGTGAGTTCCAGGACAGCCAGGGCTACACAGAGAAACCCTGTCTCGAAAAAAACCAAAAAAATAAAAAAAATCACATTAACTTTACTGTTTGGCTCAGAACCCACAGCTGTGTTTGAGCCAGTGTAGACACAACTCTGAACTTAAGTCAGGACTACACATTCATGGCCTTCAACAGGAGAGCCTGACCACAGGGATGAGAGGGCTCACCTCCCAGCAGTCTTGCTGCCCTGAACACCCTCTTCCTAGAAAGCTGACAGGGACACGTTGGCAGGCAAGGCCAACAGAGTGGACCTGGAGACGGTGGCAATGGAGCTGAATGAGATGATTCACAGCATGCTCCTGAAGATCACCAACTACGAGTCTGACTGGAAGAAGTCTCTGAAACACATCAGGAAGGACCTGAACACTAAGGTGAGCCTATATTAGTTAGCACTTGCTACTTATCAAAAAGTCCCAGAGCTTAGCAGCTTCAAAGAGCAAATACAGATAGTTTTGAAGAATTCAGAAGCAGCTTCCCTGGGTGGTTCAAGGCCTGTGACTCACAAGGTCAGATGAACATGTCACTCCCAGCTGTATCATCTGAATGAGCTATATGAAGTCACTTCAAAGTTTGTACCCTCATGTGACTGTTGGTAAAATGTTTCAGTTTCTCATAGAATGATTCCTTCTTAGGGCCAATTAAGGGGCCTTATAACATGGCAGCCAACTTCCCCCGACACACACACACACACACACACACACACACACAGAGTGACTCAAGACAGTAAGAAGAATGTGCAATGTCTTTTGCTACCCCAGCTGTGGAAGTCACTCCCAGCATTCTGCATTAGCCTGTTGATTGTACAAGTGGATCCCTTTCAATGCCAGGAGACACCGACTCCACTGGTATGAGTTCCAGCCATGTCTGGAGCCATGTTGGAGGCTGACTTCCGGAATGCTTGGGGTAGTGCAAGAAAAGTCGTAGGTTGGGGTTGGAGGAGGCTTTTTTCAGAAATGCCTGTCATTTGTTCATTTGTCACTCAGTGGCTACCTCAGTGTGACACACCTTGGGGAACAGGTGAGTTCAGGGAGTCCCAGGCCCCCTGCTCTTTGCTCGGTAAGCAGTGAGCCAAGCAGATGGGGACACTGTTTTTTTTTTTTTTTTTTTTTTTTTTTTTTTTTTGGTTTGGTTTGGTTTTTCGAGACAAGGTTTCTCGGTGTAGCCCTGGCTGTCCTGGAACTCACTCTGTAGACCAGGCTAGCCTTGAACTCTCGAACTCAGAAATCCACCTGCCTCTGCCTCCCAAGTGCTGGGATTAAAGGAGGTGTGTGACACCACCGCCCGGCGGGGACACTGTCTTTGTGGAGACATGTTCATCAAAGTAAGGACCCAAATGAATGCAAAGTCATAACCCCATAGTACCCACAGAACAGGCGACCGGTGTTTCTTTTGCTGATGTGGAGCTGGTTTTAAAGCTGGACTGGCAATGCGACCCAAGCAGGAATTCTCATATAACACACTGTACTCGGGATGTGGGTGGAGTGGTACACACCTGTAATCCCAGCACTCAGGGGGATCACAAGTTCAAGTCCAGTCTGGGCTACGGAGTCTGGAGGTCAGATGATGTAATATAGCAAAATCTTGTTTTACAGGGAAAGGGAAATGGGGTCCAGACTAGACAAATCCTAAAGGCAGAAAGTAGGTTACTGATTGCCAAGGGCTGAGGATTTGGGAGGAAATAGGGGTGGCAGGTAATGGGGTTTCTTTTGAGATGTTTTAAAATGGATTGTGAAGCCAGACGTGGAGGTAATAAGGCTGCAATCTCAGCCCTTCTGACACTAAGGCAGGAAGATTGTGGGTTCCAGGCCAGCCTCAGCTACACGGTGAAGCAGTGCCTCAAAAAAAATAATACCTGACTCCTAGCTGGCCCCACCCTCAACTACCATGCTGTGGCAGGGGTGTGGGAGAGCTCGCCTGGCCCCTTGCAAGCTGTGCCACTGGGTGAGCTTGCCCTGGTGGTGTGTGTTCAGGAGAGCTGGTGGGCTGACCAGCTCAGCAACCACCTAGCCCCAGAGTTGGCCCACCTCAACATTTACCCCATCTATGAACGTGAAGGGGCCGGTCCTACAGATCCAAAGCTGTGGGGCCTCCATGACACAAAGCAATAATAGAATATCCCAGAGAAGTCCCATGAGGATTCAGTATTCACAGTATAGCAAAAGCCAGAGGCCTTGAAACAGACCAGAGACTCACTGCAATGAACATTTGCAAGTAAAGATGTGTGGACAGAAGGGTATCCTGTGGGACACACTGCAGCTTCCATGATAAGATTTTCTTTTGGTTTGGAGGGTAGCGAGGCTGCAAGGGTGGAGGGCAGATATGAAAGGAGATGAATGGGACTGAGTGGATGATGTGAAATTCACAAAAAAAAAAATCAACAAAAACTCTCTTAAAAAAGAGAAGTCATAAATTTGCCAGACATGGTAGTGCATGTCTTTAATCCCACTTGAGAGATACAGGCAAATGGATCTGTGAAAACCAGCCAGTGCTCTCGAGAGAGACCCTGTCTCAATAGCAGTAGCAGTAGTGTTTGACTGTGATGTTTCCACACTTTGTGAGTATATTAAAGGAACTGTCCACTTTACATGCAAACCTTCCATAAATATTTGTCAGATGTGTGGACGTCAGGGCCTGGGGTTCACTGGAGAAGTAGTTTTCCAGCCTCCAGCTTTGCAGCTGAGCAGAACAGTAGGTTTGGAGGCAGGAACTGGTGTCATTTCTTGCAATGGCCACTGGGAATCTCACCTTGCAACTCCCCTGTGCCAAGAGCACCCACAGAGCATAGGCTAAATGGTTTTCCTTTTCCGGAGTCCCTTGATGTCTTTATCTTAGTCTCTGTGTGACTCTGCAGGTTGTTTGGGTGAGCTAACTGACTGAATGTCTTTCTTCCCGGTGATTGGCAGCTAGTCCAGAGCGATCTGAGTAGCCTCAAGAAGGACATAGAAGAGGTCTGGAAGATAGTCCGGAAGCTTTTGCTAGAAGGCCTCCGATTTGACCCTGACAGCGCTGCAGGCTTTAAGAAGTGAGTTTACCAAGGGTGGCCCTGCTGCTGCTGCTGCTGCTGCCAACAGAGGAAAGCCTAGGATTCCAGACCTCAGCCATGGGGATGGGGGCAGGGAGGGAGGGTAGAGTGGAACGCTTCTAGCCTTCTCTTCAGATGAGGAAACTGAGGCTCAGAGAGGGGAGGGAAACGAGGACAAGCCTACACGATTGGCAGACCTATCTGGACACTGAGTCAGGCCCAGTGATTCCTGTCCCCAGCCAGGCAGGCTTGCCGTTAGATTCCACATACCTCCCTCCTCCAAGGGCTTTTTTTTTTAATTGATATGATGTGACAGTATTGACCCTTCAGTGGATGGGAAATCAAAGTGCTCTGTCCCGAGGTCACAGGTACAGACAAAGGGGACTGGGGGACCTTAAGCTCACCCCACCCCAGCACCGGGCCCTGTTAACCCCTGGCCACTGACCTCCTTGTGTTCCAGGAAACTGTTCGAGAGGGTAAAGTGCATCTCCTGCGACCGGCCCGTGGAGATGATGACCGGCCCGTGAGTATCGCCGCCAGAGGACCTCCAGGATTGCAGGGTCCAGTGTACAGTGCAGGCCCCATGTGTGCTTTTCTACCTGTATACATCCTGACACCGCCCTGCAGACCTCAAGCACAAATGGGTGTTCCATATGCAGATGCACACACCTCCCTAAGTATATACCCATTCTTCTACGCCATTCTATAGCCGCCATCGCCTGTTCCACCTGTGGTTCCCTAGGTGGGGGAGTAGGTCCATCTTCTCACCTTTAACACTCTCAGTGTTTTGTTCCAGAGACTGAGGGAAAGCAGGAATTTGTTATTTCTGAGTTCATTCATCTTTTCTGAGAGAGTCTTGCTGTGAGGTCCAGGCTGGCCTCAGAACTTGCAGTCTTCCTGTGTCATTGTTCCCAGCGTTGGGATTTCAGGTGCACGTTTAGTTCCAACTCTTGTCCTTACTTAGAGACCACTGTAAAGGCAGCAGTTCAGAGGCCTCCAACACTGCGACTGTCTCTAGGCAGATCCAGCCCCGTTTAGTCCCCCAAAGACATCCCCAGTACCATTACTGGTCACTCATTGCTACCTCCCTTTAGCCCAGGAAGCCATTGGCTTTCCTTTCCCAAAGGTCTCCCGTAAATGGGACTGTACAATATGCGACCTTTGGTGTCTGGCTTCCTTACTGAGCTCACTGTTCATGAGACCTCTTCACACAGCAGCAGAAATCGACTTTTACTCCTTCCTTACAGCTGAGAAATATCCCACTGTGTGGGCTTCAGAAAGCCTTTCCCTTGTGCCTGCATTCATCACTTGAATGGCTTTGGGATGTTTCTGTCTTTCAGCTGTTGTGACTCGTGCTGCTGTGAACATTGATATGTATTTATTTGAGCACCGGCTTTCCATTGTTTGTGGAACAGACGTAGGAGGGAAGGTCCTACAGTGACTCTGTAAGCTGCCAGACCGTAATCAGCCCTGGAGTGCTGGCTTTCTGCAGAGCTGGCCCCGCCCAGAGACCTACAAAGCTCTCCCAGCCGCAGGGAGCTGGAGGGCTTCCACCAAGGGTTTCCTTTCAGACCACAGGATGGCACTGCAGTTTTATTGATGGTAGTGAAAGCACAGAAACAGCTGGGAGCTGAGGCACTTTCGTCTGTTCCCAGAAAGTAGTGTAGACTTAGACTGTAGAGCCCTGGGCCAACAGGACACTCCTGTGAGCAACCAGAAACTGTGCAAACTGTATCCCTGTGTGGAAGGTTTTGTATATGTGTAGCTAAGGACTGACATGGCCAAGAATCTGTTGGTAAATCTTCTTCAGCTTTTGTTAATGAGCCACTTGTAATTAGATATCACAGAAGTAAAATATTAATGGCTTGGAAAAATGATGCGATCAAGCCATATGTGTGTGACTTTGCCATCTTCTTTAAAGAAATTACATAAACATGGAGAAATATTGGAAGGATATGAATGTCAAGGCCTATCCCTGGTCATGGTGCTTGTTTCTTTGTGCCTTCCTGTGTTTTATAAACTGGTAACCAGTGTCTCTCTGAGCATGCTTCACTGTGTTACCATCTATATGTAAAGGACACTTCTGCGTGTGTTCAACCACACAGCTCAGACAGAGAGGTCAGCGGGCCCAGCTCCCTGGAAGGCTGTTCTGGATGTCCTTATTTTTGTTTATTTTTGGAGGCAAAATACCCAAGATACAACCTTATCCTGTTTGATGGAAATTGCCAGTTATGTGTCCATGACGTACAGCCTACATGCTCTCTCATGCCTGTGCCCTTCACCACGCCCCTTCCAAGCAGTGCCTCCCCTCCATGTACCCACAGCTCCTGGCAAACACCTATCTGTAACATATCTCTAGGACCCCTTTCTTTGGTTTTCTACTACTATTTACTTACTTATTACTGGAGACAAGGTCCTTCTATATAGCCAAAGATAGCTTTAACCTTGAACTCAGTATGTACTAAATAGTACAGGCTGATTTTGAACTTGCTACCCTCCTGCCTCAGTCTCCCAAGAATTGGGATTGTAAGGGTTGCACCACCACCCCTGGCTTGGTTGTGACTTCCTCTCTTCAGGCCTGGGAGCCTGGAGCTTTCTGCTAGCCATGTGCACCTCTCACAGTGTTCCCTCTGCCTCCACAGACAGCTGATCACCATCCGCAACACCCATGGGATGTCACGAATAAGGCCAGCCAGTGCCAACAGCTATGAGTATCTGCAGCGGCAGCTGATAAGGTGAGGGTTATGCCCACCCCCACCCTCCCTCGGAGAGAGCCAAAACCCCTGTCCTGCAGAAACTTTCCTTCAATGCAAGCACCAAAGAGGGCCCAGGATGCCCGTTGTGTTGTAGCTGACAGGCACATAGAGGACAGTTGAAGAAGAGGAACCAACCTTTGCTACTGTGATCTATTAGCTGGGCCCTGTAGCAGAGGCATATTGTGCCAGCTACTCAGGAGGTGGAGGCAAACATATCATAAGGGCTTCATAGGCTTCAGAGTAAAACCTTGCCTCAAAGTAAAAAGAACGAAAGGGCTGAGTCATAGCATTTGTCTGGCATGCACAAGGCCCGGGATGAATCCCAGCACTGCTGAATGAATGGGCGTTTGCAAATAGGAGGGCTTCTCCTTAAGTCGTATAACCCCTGGAATCCAGGGTTAGCATGCTTGTTTCCTGTGAGTGAATAATTGGAGGATCCTCTGGGAGCCCTTGCTGAAACTTTGTTGGGTCACATGGCTTCCTGCGGAAGTACCTTCTATTATCATCCTACTTCACAGTTGAAAAGACTGAGACTCAGACTATGTGACCTGCCCAAGCCCCCCCCCCCCCCGCTAATGAGTGGCTAGAGAGCCTTACCTTATCATTTTTCTCACTCAGCCTAGCCAGCTACCATCCCCTTCATCCTTGGGTGCCAGGGGTCCTTTCAGAGCCTAGCCTATGTGAACTTCTGGTCAGGAGTGAGGTCGGTGGAATGAACAACCGAAGGGTTAGTCAGTGCCAGGAGAAGAATGAGACCACCTATGCTGACTCGCCCGCACTGTGCCTGACAGCTGGCACTCAGCGTCAGAGCATGTATGTGCATAGCAAGGCCAGACCAGGGCTCCAGGTGTGGTTTGGGGAAGGGAATATGGATTATTTCCCTCCCAGAACTCTATTGGCTCACCACATCCCAGGCCTGCCTGCCATTCTGCCCACCTTCCTTGATATGGTCCAGAGCCCTGGGGCCTGTGCAGGCCTCCTGTGTGACACAGGGGTCTCCACGTGGCTGTTCTGTCCTATCCAGGGAACAACAGAAGCAGCTGCATTTCCAGAACTTTGGAGTCCATGAAGGCTTCCAGAAGGACTGGGGTGATGGGCCCCGAAATGAGACCATCTTGAAGCACAAGTCACATGACCTGTCAACAGTCTATCCTTATGGGGACCCTGAGCTGGTAGACTATGACACTGTGAGTCTGGCTGTGCCCTCCAACCCCCACAGAGGCTGGACCCCAGCACACCCAGCCCCAAGTGTGAGACGAAGCTCTGAGCTGTGAACACCTTGAGGAGGCTGTGCTTTGGCTCTGGGCATCAAGGAAAAGGGGTGGCAATGAAGACCCTGACTTGGGACCTGGGTCATCCCACAGGCCGAGGTGGACATCTTGGGGGTGGACGGAGTTCTGTACAAAGGCCGAATGAGCAGCCAGACTGGGACACAGATTGGGGAGAAGGACATTGCAGGTAAGCACTAGTGTTTCCTGTGATTCCCTCCGTGGGACCTGACTCTGCTGGTCAGAACAAGGGGGTGCAGGCGGCTGAGGAGCCCTGACAGTCACCTGGGGAATAGAATTCCGTTATGTGGTACCTCACCAGGCACCAGGAACCAGGGAGGAGCAAAGGACATGAGTGGCCCCTGTGGACTGCTGGGTGGAGACAGCCTGTAAGCTCGTATCAGAAGGAGGAGTCCATGGCAACAACACAAAACTAATCTGAGCCAGACGTGGTGGCAAGCTTTTTGTTGTTTCTGTTTTTCAAGACAGCCCTGACTGTCCTGGATTTCCCTCTTCAGACCAGGTGGCCTAGAACTCACAGACAGCCACCTGCCTGTACTGAGTGCTGGGATTAAAGGTACGAGCCACCATTGACCACAGTGGCACACACTTTTAGTCCCAGGAGAGGCAGGTGGATGTCTGAATTCAAGGTCAGCCTGCTCTGCAGAGTGAGTTTTAGGACAGCCAGAGCCACACAAACAAAACTGAACAAACAAACAAAATTTTTTTCAACTAACCTGAGGAACTAAGAATACAGCTCAATGACAGTTCACAAATGCAAGGCCCTAGGTTCTTTCCCCAGTACTGGATAATAACTGAATAGCTGAGCTGAAGGCCCCAGCTGTAAGGCAGCTGGACACTGGTGAAGACAGGTGGAGAGGGGAATGCTGGACTGGTAAAGAGAGCTGTGCCAGGCAAAGCTGGTCCATGGGGACCAAATGGACGGCTTCTTGAACACCTTTGAAAAATAAGCAGGAGTTAGTTGGTGAAGGGGTGGAGAGGGAAGAATGTGGTCCAGGTTGGAAGAAGAGTAGGTTCAAAGGTCCTGTGGTAGGGTGGGTAGGGAACGATGAGTCTTCTTGGAGAATACACTAGGGTAAGGGGAAAGAACAATGAACAGGGCCAGACCCAGGAGGACAAGGGTCAGACCAGCAAGAGACCCCAACCTTTTTGCATTTTGAATTGGTTGCTATGGTTGCCCTGGAGTCTAAGACCTGGAATTACTGGTTTCACCACTGGGTGTGTAATAAAGTAATAACCAAAACGGAGCTTCTCTGTACACCCTGGAGATGTTTTCCTTTGGGAAAGAGATGTCTAAAGCAGCTCTTATATCAGGAATGATACAGGATCCCCTGGACATCTAATCCATAGTAACCCCATGGGCCGCCCATGGACCAGAGCACTGAGTCCAGACATGCAAAGGAGACAAGATTTGGATGTACTGCTATGGTAGACTGAGGACACACCCCATAGCAGCTGCCAGAGCTAACCACCACAGCCCAAGGCCCAAAGCTGCAGGACAGTTCTCCCAGATCTGAAGGCTGGAGGTCAAGGTCATGGTGCCAGCAGAGCTGTGCTCTCCTCAGAGCTGCTCGGTCTTTCCCTGTCCCAGCCTGCTCCTGTGGCTTTGGAAGCCTCTCGGGAGGGGCCAGGTCACTCCAGCAGCCATTGCTGCTGACGCCTCCACTTTCCTCTTTTCTGACTTTCACGAGGACACTAGTCACTGAACTTCAGGCTTAGTGTAACCTAGAGTCATCTTATTTCTTTTTTATTGTTTGTTTGGTTTTTTGTTGTTGTTTTTTGTTGTTTTGTTTTTTTCGAGACAGGGTTTCTCTGTGTAGCCCTGGCTGTCCTGGAACTTACTCGGTAGACCAGGCTGGCCTCGAACTCAGAAATCCACCTGCCTCTGCCAACCAAGTGGTGGGATTAAAGGCATGCACCACCACCCGGCTAAATCATCCTATTTCAAGACCTGAAATTACACCTGCAAAGATCTTTTTTTCCTTCAATAAGGTCACTTCTGTAAGTTCCACAGAACGTATCTTTTAGGAGCCCACTATGGAACTCACTCACAGGCATACCAGCATCTCCCAGGCTTTGCCCAGGCAGGAACTGACTGCTCAGTAACCACATTGCAGATCTGATGGAAGGGGCCTCAGGGATAATGAAAGCAGTAGTACAGCTAATGTCCGATGAGCCTCACCTCTGTGGCAGCCTCCCCCATCCTTGTCCATAGCAACCGGGCATTTCACAAATGAACATGGGAGGTCCGCTTGGGTGAGGCTGTCTCAGGAGAGAAGAATGGACCAGTAGGGAGACAATCTCATCCCCATCACTGAAGACCTTCTACAGGGACTGAGAAAGGGGCTTTTCTTTCAGGGGGGGGGTATATAAGAAACATTATATACAGAGCTTGGACTGGGAGCAGCTCAAAGGCTTCACCTTGCTTGGATACCCCCAGAGTGAAAAGTCTGGCTTGATGTGGGAGCCAGAACTCTGGGTGGAGCGCCAGCTATTCAGACTTTTCCTCCTCAGCTGTCAAAGTTTCATGTTACACGGTTCCAAACCTGACTGATCGTGTGCGCCCAGGATCCTTACTCGCCCCAGGCTACCCACGTGAGTATCTGACCCACCTGGGGTTCTGGCAGATGTCCAGCTTCTCCTGGTCCTTCCCCATTCCTCTCACCTATATCCCACCCCTTACTCCACTCATCCCCCTCCCCCTTTATGCCTGTTTTGCCCACACCCTGACAACCGCCTTCTCTCTGCCTGGGGAAAGGGGGCTGGGGGTGGGGGAGGAGAGGTTAGGGGGCCTCTAGTTGTTCTGAGCTTCTGAGAGTTTCTTGGCCAGTGCCTGTCCCCAGAGGTCACCCTGGCTGTAGAGGTGGGTCAGATGAGGTCACTTATAGTTCTGAGCGTTTTGGCCAGGGCTGCCAGGAGCCAGTCTGAGAGGACTGAGTCCTTGACTCTTCCTTTCTGGCCCTCTAGAAGCACCTTCATGTCCCCAGAGCAGCACTTCCTACTGTCTCTTCTGGTTCTTATCCTGCTTCAGCAGGGTAATGCTGTTTAGACGCCTGTGCCCAAACTCTGAGCCCCTCCCCAAGGTGTACCTCTGTACTCTAGCACCCATTCTTGGACTTAGGTGTCTCAAGTCACCCTTGAGGAAATGTTTAGGAGCAGGTCTAAAGGAGGTGCAGTGGCCAGTCCTGCCATGGCTTACAGTGTACCTCTAGTCTCCAGCTTCTGTTTCTTGTGGGGATGGGCTGGGGGGAGGACCCCATGAGGCCAGCTGCTTCCAGAGATGTAGGCACACAACATGGGTCTCTCCTGCTTCATCTCCAGCCTTGGGTCCCCGCACCAGCATCAGCTCCACTGCCACTCTACACTCTGCCACCAACACCACGATGGCACGGCCACCATCCCTGCCACCAGTGCCGCAGCTACCACCACTGATCCCAGTCTCGAGGGATCCCCAAGAGGCCCCTGGATCCGCCAAGCGCTTGAAATCTCCACGGCTGTAACAAACCAACCAGCGAGACCCAAGCCTGTGACCCAACTACCATGGGGTCGCCTTCACTCAAAGAAAGAGACCCAGAGCCCTAGAATGGATCCAGGAAAGGGTGCAGGGATCCTGAATATAGGGGAAGGAAGGGTCTGCATAGGGGACCCATGCTGACTCAGTGTTTAACTGTGTATGTAAAATACAAACCACACAGTCCTCCCTAGCCAATGTTTTCATGGATAACAGAGCTTCTGAGTGAAGTTTTTACAGAGCCAACCAAATTTCTTAAGCAATTTCCCCAACAGCACAAAGCAGTTCTAAAACAACCCCCTTTGGGTTGGCAGTGCTTGCCTAGTGGCAGTCCTGAGTCTAATCCTCTAGCACCACAGAAGCTGGTATGGTGCATACACTGGTGATACAAGCACTTCAGTGTTAATGGAAGGAAGACCGACTGGGCCAAGATCACCCTCAGTTACATAGTGTGTTCACAGCCAGCCTGGGATGCACGAGACCCTGTGTCAAACAAAAGCAGAAATCCCTTTCTTTGGCATTTTGCTTAAGGCATCATTAGGCCTAGCATCTCCCTTGAATCTTCCTTAGAGGCCATTAGTTTTCCCACAGGAAGCAACTTTCACCATGCATTATTTTTATTTCCAGTGATCGTGTCTATCAGTGACCATTATTAGGGATTGAATTGTGTGAGAGAGAGGGTGTGCTGTAGTGTAAGCTCATGTGTGTATGTGGGGTATCCCTGTGCATATACAGAGGCCACAGAAAGACAATGAGTGTTCTGCTCTATCAGGATCTACCTTATTCCCTCGAGACAAGTCTCTCACTGAACATGGCGCTAAGCTGTTGGCCAGCAAGTCATAGCCCCTGCTGTCTCTGCCCTCTACTCTCCACTACGGGGGTTAGAGATGTGTACAAGGCCACTCCCAGCTTCTCACATGGGTTCTAGGGATTTGAACTTGGGTCTTCATGTTTTTGTATCAGGCACTCTTACTTTCTGAGCTATTTCTTTGGCTCTATTTCTGAGATAGGGTCTGGTGTGTCCTGGGATGCCTTAGAACTCACACTGTAGCTGTAAGAATGACCTTAACTGCCGGGCCGTGGTGGCGCACGCCTTTAATCCCAGCACTTGGGAGGCAGAGGCAGGCGGATTTCTGAGTTCGAGGCCAGCCTGGACTACCCTGTGAGTTCCAGGACAGCCAGAGCTACACAGAGAAACCCTGTCTCGAAAAACCAAAAAAAAAAAAAAAAAAAAAAAGAATGACCTTAACTATCTGACAATTCAGTGTCCACCACCCAGATGTTGGGTTACGGGCCTGTGCTGTTGCTGTGTTTCTGCAGGGCTGCGAATCAAACAAGGACTTTAGCATGTCTGGCATGCACTCTAGCAACTGAGCTCCACTTCCGGTTCTAGAATTAACCATTTAATTATTTTTATGTCTTAACTAATTTACAAGAAAACTGGGATAGCACCCTTGGTGTAGTCTAGGACTGTGGGTGCCCTCCAAGGTGGGGCTACACCAAAGCTATTGCAAGCCCAGCAGGTTGCCAGCCCATGCACTTGGAAGAACAGCACATCCAGTTCTCTGTGGCAATTAGTGACTAGCCTTGGGATGTGAGGTGGGGGCGCAAGTGCAGCCGCTCCTCTGGACACTCAAGCTGGGCTATTCCTCCTATCGTCTGTTCCTTGTTCATCTTAATTTCACTCCCTTACCGTCCTCCTTTTGTCTCCTCTCCTCCCCCTTTTCTGCTGCTGAGAGTTCCACCCCACTTCATACACCTCTCCTGAGCACAGGTTCCAGGCGTGACCCCTGCCCCACCTCAGAGAGTTCTAGCTGAGTGGGGCGCTGAGGTGGTGGCGGAGGATGGCTTGGGAGGCCACCCGTGTGGAGGGCTGCTTGTCTCTTTCCAACACTTCCTGTGGCCTCTTGTCAATACCAGCTTTTTGGCTGAGGCCACTCCTAGCCAACTCACCTTTTCTTTTTGCAAAGGTGTCCAAATGGGGCTGGGCCACTCCTAACACAGGTGACTCACTTATCTTTGCCTGGAGACCTCACCTTCATACCACAGATACATATTTTTGGTATTTTCTGGACAGAATAAAGTCTTGTTCCTTTGGACTTTAGATGAGGGGCTTGGCCTGGAGCCATCTGTAGGCAGCGGCCTCATCCTCTTTCCACATGGGTGGTCCCTCCTCTGGCCACTGACAGTGAGGCTCAGCCTCCCAGTGCCCCTGTCTAGGACATGAGACGTCTGCAGAGATTCATAAGCTGTTCACCACCACAGCAGCCCACTCTCTGAGCTGCCTCACCCCTGTAGACAGACAGATCATGGGGGCTTCATGGCCCAGGGGTCATACAGCTCTTGAGTCATGCAGAAGGCTGCAGCTGCTGGGTACTGTACTACTCTCTCCTTCACTGTATAAGGTTTGCTGGGGAAGTGGGTTCTGAGCTATGCCTGTGCACATGTCCCTGCCATGTGGACACCCAAGAGTTTTTCCTGGTCCTCAACGAGGGCCTATTTTCCCTCACAAACTCATGTCTAACCCCCTAGCTGGTCATCTCAAAGTGTCCTTCTGAGGTTCCTCTGCAGGTTGAAGAACCTCAGTGGTCAATACTTGAGCTGGTTCCTACAGCCCAGGGAGTGAAGACAAGTCCTCAGTCCTGCAGGTCTATGTCCATCCTTCTACTGTGGCGTAAGTTGTTGGGAGCTCAACTTCAAAGACAGGTCTGGTCCAAAAGTGAAAGGCCTGCAGGTTGGAGGCTGGGAACAGTTAGTTTCCAGGAATGTGTTTGACCCCATCATAACAGGGGAACCACTCAAACCAGTAGAATCCCATCTCAGCCTGTCTGAGCCTTTTCCTCCACACAGAGCTCATAATTCCTGGATTGGGAGTAGCTGCAAGATCAGACTGGACACATGGGCAGGGGAGGGTGACCGACCGTCTTGACTTGTCAATTGGCATAGGACATCTCAGGATGTCAGCATTTGTATTTTAAGATCAAGGTGGTGGCCAGGGACGGTTGTACATAGCTGTAATGTTCGTACCCAGGAAACAGAGGGTGGAGTATTAGAAGATTAAGGTCATCCTCAGCTACAAAGAGTTCTAAGCCAGCCTGGGCTACAGAAGACCCTGTCTGAAAAAACAACAAACAAGGAGAGGTACCCCAATGCTTAAAAGCAGGGCTGTTCCAGAGGATCCAGGTTTGGTTTTCAGCACCCACATGGTGGTTCACAACCATCTCCAACTCTAGTTTCAGAGAAGCTGAAACCCTCTTCTGGCCTCTAGGCATGCTTGTGGTGCACATCTATTCATTTAGGCAAAACACTCAACCACATTAAAAAAAAATTAACCAACAAAGACTGAGATGACGCCGGGCAGTGATGGCGCATGCCTTTAATTCCAGCACTTGGAAGGCAGAGGCAGGCGGATTTCTGAGTTCGAGGCCAGCCTGGTCTACCGAGTGAGTTCCAGGACAGCCAGGACTACACAGAGAAACCCTGTCTCGAAAAACCAAAAAAAAAAAAAAAAAAAAAAGACTGAGATGGTGCTCCGGTGGTGGTGGTGGTGGTGGTGGCAGGACATTGAACTGCACAGGGCCCAGGCAGCACAAAAGGTGATGGATGTCTTCTGCAGAGCACAGGCTCTACCTGGCTGTGCTACTGACGCAGATGTTGTTCAGTGACCACCCACCGGCTCCACATTGCCATAAATGAATCGTCAGGTACTTCCTCCTTGTCTAAGACCACAAATTCATTATCCTAAGGTGTAAGCTACTGACAAAGCCGATGTCTGCATTGGAAAGAACCACCGCCAGTGCTTAAGGCTAAGAGCTGCAAGGTGGAGGCTCCAGAGCTGGATGGAAGAGCATTTCCAACACCAGACTCCACGTGGGCTGACCCTAACACAGCACGCTGACTGGCTCTAGGCAGTGACTCCCAATCCACACTACCAGAGAAGCTTCCCTTGTCCTACCAAGCATGCTCTATGAGGATCTGGGGAGAATGACTACAGCCGAGGCTACTGTCCACCCCGGTGAGCAGAGCAGGACTTCTGCTGCTGGTCCTCCAGCACCTTGTATGCAGTCAGTCACAGACTTGGCTTTGCCTTCTTGGGCCAGCTCCACCCTTGTCCATCTCAAGAGGACCCAGCACCTCCCACTAAAAAGAAATCGTTTTTAAGGCTCATTTGAGGTACATATTTTCTTAAACACATGTGGTAGGCACACACTGACACCTTTCCAAACACAGGCACTGGAAATGGCATTCCATCAAAAGATCTTCATTTTAGTCAACCCAGGAGGCCCCTCCAAACCAGGAGACCCCAGTCAAAAGATTCATCTGTCTTCTGCTGGGCAGGGACTGCTGAGAAAAGGCCCTTAACCAGCACTGGGGACAGTGTGGTTCTCTGGGTTGGTCATGATGTATGCTCAGAGAACTCTGGCTGGGCCACTTGACAGACCCTTGGGAGGCTGAGCAGTCTTTGGTGTTGCCCCACATCTGATTCCCAAACAACAAATCTTTCTCTCTTCAAGGCTGTTTGAAGGAGTCCTGTCAGCTATAGAAAGGAGCTTAGACTTGTGTTCACCGGCTGGTGCCCTCCACCCATCCATAGCAGGCTCTTACTCTGCAGTTGCTCTGAGTGAAAAGCAAGGTCCCCATCAGAGGCTGGCTTATCTCAGGACAGCATCTGGAAATGTATTTCACTGCTACCTATTTAGCCAATGAAATGGAGGGGATCAACCTGGCAGAAGTGGGCCAGGCCGTGTCCCTAGTGTGCCGGCCAGCTCCTGCCACTTGTGGGTTTTCCAAGGTAAGTCAGAAGTGAGGATTTTTACATCAAACCTCTTGACTTTAAAACGCTGACACAGCAAACCAGCATGTGACAGGTTTGGAAGCCCCTGAGATAACTGCCTCCTCCAGTCATAGCCACGGCTCAGTGTCCTTTGGGAATCAGACACAAAGCTTGAAACATTCTTTAAAGCAACCTCATAGATGCAAATGGCATTTTAAGAGTGCAATTGTGAGCCGGGCGGTGGTGGCGCACGCCTTTAATCCCAGCACTTGGGAGGCAGAGGCAGGTGGACTTCTGAGTTCGAGGCCAGCCTGGTCTACAGAGCGAGTTCCAGGACAGCCAGGGCTATACAGAGAAACCCTGTCTTGAAAGAAACAAAACCAAAACCCAAAAAAAAAAAAAAAAAAAAGTGATTGTGAAAAATCACTTAGACACCAGTCATTTTGGCAGGTCGGAACACGATCAACTCTAACAGGCTGGTTTTTGTTGTTATTCTAAGACAGGGACTCTTGTATCTCAGTGTTGCTTTCAACTAAATATATACCTGAGGATGACCTTGAACTTCTGACCCTCCTGCCTCCACATTCTAGAATTGAGAAATTAAAGCTATATGCTCCCATGCCTAACCAGCTTATGCAGTGCCAGGGATCCCAACCAGGGCCTCCTGTATGCTAGGCAAGCACTCTACCAACTCAGCGCCATCCTAAGCCCACAAGCTGGCTTTCTTTTGTTGCTCAGACTGCTCTGAGTATGTATGTGACAGGACGTGCTCCTAAGGATAGCTTACATGGTTGTTCTTTGCTCACTCCTTTGCTGTGTAACCAACCTTCTCTGAACACAGATCATTGTTTACCTTTTTGCTTCTCAGCTTACTGGTGGGGGTAAGCTCTAAGAGGGTCAGGGTTTGTGTTACTGTCACCAGCCACATCTGACTCTCCCAAGTTGGTCCTGATTGAGTTGTTCAGGCCAGTTCAGACCAGCCCTCCAGCCTTGTGTCCTAGCAGCAGGGCTCCAGCATCCTACAAACTCAAGTATCTAGGATCCTCATCCCAGGTAGTTCTAAAAAGGCTGGAATCCAGGATGTTTGGCAAGCACTTAACAAACGGTTAAAATGACTCACATCTGTGATCCCAGCCTTTAGGAGGGAGTTCAAGGCTAGCCTGGACCACACAGTAAGAAAGACTCTGCTTTGAAACAAAACCACTTGCAGCACTCAGAACCACCTGGTAGTGGGAGCTGTCTATTTTTGGTAACAGCTTTGAAGTAGAATTGACACACCAGAAAGCTTACCTTTTCCAAGTGTAAAATGAACCGCTGTCTACCTGCTACTCTTCCCAGCACTGATGTAGATGGGTGTGGAGACCTGGGGTCTGTTTAGGCTGAGCAGCTAGGCATGTGAACCATGTGACTAGCAATGTCCATCTCCAGAGGAGAGGATGTCAGCAGTATCTGCAGTGGGCTCTGACCACCACTACCTGATGGTGCAAACTCATCTGTTGGGTAGGCTTCTAGAACACTGGGCATCACACTGTTTATAGGATGGCCCTCACTATAAGGACATTATATGCCCAGATGTTAACAGTGCTGAGGATAAAAAGTCCTTTCTTTCTGCCTTCGTGTGTGTAACCACCTGAGATCCCCAGGCCCATCTCTCAGGAGCCGCCTCAAACAGCTAGACTCAATGGCAGCCAGCCTCGGTTCCAGCATGTTAGTTAGATATCTTGAGGGCACTTCTTAAAACTCCAGTGTCAGCCAGGTGGATCTCTGGGTTTGAGGTCAGCCTGGTCTACAGTGAGCGCTAGCACAGCCAGGGCTACACAGAAAAACCTTGTTGAGGAGAGGGGAAGGGAGGCCGTGGCAAAAAGCTTCTCTGTGTACCTTGTAGCAGGGCTCATGCTAAGACTGACTCGGTGTGTGGGCTACACACTGGGATTTCATGTACAAACTAAGCTCTAGGGTGATGATGTTCCCACTTTGCCATGAAACACATTTTAAGCAGGGCTGGTGTGGTCCACCACAGGCCAGCCAGGGCCTGCTGGGCATTTAAAAACTGACATTAGGCCATGCACTACATTATGCACAGCCCACAGGGCCACCCTGCATGGCAGGTGACTCCTAGGATCAGATCCCCTAGGAACAATTTCCTACCATCCCTGAGTGGGGAAGCTGTAGAGTAAGACTTGGGCCAAACACACCTCCTCTTTCTTTCCCTCCCTCCCTCCCTCCCTCCCTCCCTCCCTCCCTCCCTCCCCCCCCCCCTCCCACCTCATTCTCTCCCTCCATTTAAGTATTCCGGTTGGTGAAGGAGCCCCACCAGGCCCTACAGTTGGTGGCTTAAGGTCCAAGCAGATCCATGTGAAGCCCAGGCAGACAGGACTAAGACCCTCCGTTTCATCAGGAAAGGGGTTAAGAAAGAGAGGGGGAACAAAAGCTAGGAAATTTAGCAAAGACAGGCTCTGGTAGGCAAGATGATATCAGACCATGTACACGGGACAGTAGACAGGAAAGTGTGGAGTTAGAGACTGGGGTGGCTTATTTAGCCCAGCACCCCTTCCAGAGCCAGCCAGCAACACCTAGGATATATGAGGCAAGACTACAGAGCCTGGTGGTGGTTTGGAATTCTTTTCTCTTTTGTTAAAAGAGGGATAGGAAATGGGGACCAGGTACCCCTGGGCTCTGGGGAAGAGGCATGCAGGGAACCCTTGCAGGCTGGGGCTGGGTAGAAGAGTCCTGGAGTTTCCCATAATCCTCTGCAGGAAACAGCAATGCTGGCAGATAAGGAGGTGGAGTGAGACAGAGCCCTTCGGACAACGGGGTGGTGGGCCAAGGGGCTAGGGGCTCACTCTAACATGCAAAGTCCAGCTGCCCCATCAACTAGGTTGCTTTTGAAGAGCGACATACATATAAATACATAAGACGCAGCTACACGCACACATGCGGAGAAGGCTCTGCATTCCCAAGGGTAGGGATCTAGGCCTACTGACCCCAAGACAGGAGTCAGCCATGTCTCTGCCACCAAGTGATTCTCTGAAACACTCCAGGTGTGGCCAGGCAGGTTAAGTCTTCGTTGGGATGGCTGCTTGGTCTCCAAGGTGCTGCCCACTGGGCACCCAAGCCACTTTGAGTCAGATCCATGCGAGCTGGGGGGTGCCTGTGCTGTGAACTTGCGTGCGTGCAGCTGTGCACAAGACTGCCTGGCTAGAGTCCAGTCTCTCCCCTCCAGGGCTCTGGGGTACAGGGGTGCAGACAGAGGAGGGGTGAAGGGGCCCAGGGAGACATCCTCTCCCCCACCCCACGGGGTTCTGGCCTCCGGGAGGGGGGAGGGGCCTCCCTTATCTCTCTGCCTCCATGGCAGGGTGGGCCCTTGGTTCTGAGGTGGCCTGTTGGGGAGCCAGGGGAGGCCAGTCTGAAGTCGGGGAAGGGGGTGCCGGAGTCCACAGGGGCGGCTGCGGCTGGTGGTGCTGTGGGCCTCCTGGGGGCGAGGCTGCAGTTGGCCAGCTGGGTGTTGCAAAGCTGCCAGTGGCATGGGGGAAGTGTGGTGGGGGTGACGTGGCCGACGTGGCCATTGGGCTGCCGCTGCTGCCACCACCGTGGAAGCTTTCAGAGGCCTTGAGACGGGAGAACATGGTGAGGGCATCAGGGAAGTTGGGGGGCGTGGCAGGGGTGTTGGCGGGAGTGCACATCTGTGGGGGAGAAAGCACAGACGGAGGATTGAGCACCCTTTCCTGGTAGGGCCTTTGCTGCCTCTAAAAAGGAGACACGCCCAGAAGTTACTGGGAGGCACTTGGGCTGCATCTGGCCCCAGTTGGCCCACCACCCAGGGAACAGTTTACAGGAAAAGGCATTAGAAAGGTGGGTTAGTCTGGCATCACGGAGACCGTAGCACCTGGCACAATGCCTGCTGCCTCAGCCTTGAGGCTTTCTAGCCCGTGGTCAGTACGGCAGCCCTGGCAGGAGCTGAGCTCCAAGAGCCAGTGTTCTCCAGGTTCTGCAGGGCCCAGGTTGCCCACACCCAAAGAACGCCTTCATTCCAGTGACCACCCCCCTCCACCTGAGGTTTCACTAAGTGTAGCTAGAAAATTCAGCCTCCCCCTACCCGGACTGGGAGTCACCAGCGTTGCCACTTTTGGGTCTCCAGGGGACACTTACCATCTGGTGGTGGTGGCTGTAGGGGATGTTGGTCTCCTGGAAAAAGGCGCTGAGGGCTGTCTGCAGAGAGAAAGGCTGTGCTTACCCTCTAAGACCTGTTGTCCAACCATCCCAGAGAGACAGGGTGAACTAAGGTCCAGTAGTGTGCCTGAGGCCATCACATGAAGAAATCTCATGGAACTCCCAGCAGGCTGGATGAGCAGTGAGGATGCTCCCAACATGGCTTCCCAGCAGCCAGGGAGCTGTGGCCTAATGAATCCTTGCCCCACACCCTAACACCGTCACTGTGGGTTTTCTGGACTCTACTGTGGCCTGGGTCTGTCACCTCAACTGGGGTGGTGGCACAAATCCCCACCCTTCTCTGAGCCTCCATATCATATACGAACCAGGGGACTCTCAAAGGTGTGAGTCTCAGTGTAGAGGGTGGAGACGTCTTAGCATAACTTCTGTCTCTGGGGGGGGGGTCCTTTACATAGACAGAGAATGACCCAGAGACTGAAGACTGCTCCCATGACAACTTATGGGACAGTTCCCTATCCACCTGTTGTTCTGAGCTACAGCCTCTCCAATCGGAGCTCTATCAAAATAGGGACACAACATCAAACCTAGAGGTTAGAATTGGTGTCCTCCATTTTACAAACGGGAAAATTGAGGATGAAGTGACTTAAGACCCTTGGCTAGCATGAAGTGGGAATAGGACCAGAACCCTGGACTGGGACTCTAGGCCAACACTCAGGACTGTCCAGAGAGTGTGGGTGAAAGAGGACTCAGGGTGAAAAGCCTGTGTCAACTGGGGAAGGGAGCTCCAAGGTGGCCTCAGGGAACCCAAAGGATGGTGTCTGTGCTGGCCATGTCCTGCCTTGGCCTGACTCAAGAAAAGAGGAAACTGGGTGCTGTTGTGTAACTGGTGGGTGAGGGGTCCTCTAATCCACGTGGGGAGCCAGTAGGACTGTGAGCCCTGTGCCTGATTTCACACCAGAAACCCAGTCTGCTACCGGGCTTGCTCTTTTATTTCTCCTTCCAGCATATTCAAATGAATTATTATGGGAATACACTGCTGGAGACACCCTACACCAATGTTCCCAAACAGTGGAGTGGGCATGAGCTTGGTGTCACTCAAGACCCCCTGGCAAGCTGCTCCTCTAGCCCAGCACCCCAACATGACACACTTGGTACTGTCCTCCAAAGAGCAACGTGAGTTCTCTATGGAGAAGCATCTGGGCAACTACACAGAGGTGCCCCCACCCCCAGCCTCTGCCCCCATTAGCACCTGAATCTGAGAATGTGACCCAGAAACACTGCCTGGAGTATGCTACCAACCAGGAGGGTGGGGGAGGCTAACCATGAGGAACCCGTCACTCCTAGGCAGATGCCTCAGGTCAACGGGAGTTCACAGCTTAGTCTTCATTTTGTACATGGTGACAGGGAGACTCTGGAAGCCCAGAGCACAGAGAACCTACCCATGTCAGTCAGTCTGTTTCCAGGCTGCAGGAAGTCCCTAGTCCCCCTGGGGACAGTTTTCCCTAATCTTGGTAGCCATATATTTAAGTCTATTTCCTCTGGCCTGTCCCACACCGATAGATGGGCTGAGTCTTCCACACAGCCCATTTCCCAGGAGACACCTGCCTGCCCAGCCTCGGGCAAGGACCTGCAAGCAGAGCCACTGGGCTCCAGCAACTGCCATGAATGTGGTTTTACAAGTTTTACCACATCCAACCCCAGAGACAACAGGGCAGATTAAGGCTGTTGCAGAGCTGAGGAGTAGGGCACTTCCCTGGGGTGGGGCTACGGGGGGGGGGAGGGGGGAGAGGGCAGAGCGTTCAGGCCTTAGAGGTTGACAAACACTGCTACCTCCAGGGGGTAAGGACTCCAAGGCTATAGGAGGAAGCCTCCCTTCTCCTGTATAGGGACATTGGCCTGGAAATCTAGCAGGGAGTAGGTAAACAGAGCAAAGGCTTGGTTTACAGAGCTGGAAGGGCTACTGTCTTCCCAGGATGGGAGGTTCTGATCCTTGGTCTCCACTTCCTGGCTCTTCCTAGAGAAAATGGGATGGCTCCCATTGGGAAACCAAGCCCTGGGGTCTCCAACTGGGCAGACTACTAGCCCGGCTCTCGCTGTGACTCACACCTGTAAGGGACACAGCTCCAAGCCCTCTAGCCTCAAGATGTTTACAAGGAGTGAATGTGGGATTTTGAGTTAGAGGAAAGCAAGCATCCCAGGAACACAAAAGACTGGGCACATTATTCTACGCGTCAAGAGAAACCAGGGAGTAAGTAGGGGCTAGACTGACTTTCCCATCTTCTGTCTAAAGTGCCCTAAAATTAATGAACCGTATACAGAACACCATTCCAAGGTACAAGTTCCCTTGTCAGGCCTGAGGATACTCAGGCCTTCATAAGGATCCCGCCCCAGTGATCCCTTCGCAGTGGGCTACATATATACAGATTCTCGTAGTTTACTCTGAGGATCGTGCACACCACCCATACACTCCATGCCGTATGTGCACACACACCGCACCATACCCAGCATGGCTACCATTAGCAAACACCACCTATGTACACGCTGCACACACACCAAACAAGACACAAGGGTATCCTATATCAGACACGCACTCGGGCCAGGCTTCGAGTCCGCACACGCGCCCACATGCCCACAACCTTCGATGTGCCCTGCTGACGCCCAAGCGCGGTGCGTGCGTAAATACAGATCCACATGTACGTGTGCGCATACGCCGCAAGCTGCCCACCGGGCACACCGACCCTGGGACCGCTCACTCCGAGCGACTCCGCCTCCGGCCCGGCCCTGGGCGTCTTACAAGCGGCCCTCTGTTTCGTTCTCAGCCGTTACCGGGACCAGAGGGAGGGTGTCGCGTCCTGATAGCCGGGTTTCCGGGGCTCAGGCCTGGCGGTCGATGAAGCCCGCAGCCCACACCCCGGCACGTGTCCACACCGCCCGCACCCGTTCCCGGTTCCCCTACGCACCTCGAACTGCCAGTGGGCCGCTTGTAGCAGTTGCTTCGCCTGGTCGGCCGCACAGCCCGCCGTCAGCACGAACTGGTTGATCATGACCTGATGTTTGAGCTCGTCCATGTTCACGGACATGGCGCCGCCGCGCAGCCCGCTCCGGCCTCCCTGCGCGCTAACCTCACGCGTCCACCATTAGCGAGCCGGCCCCGGCTAATACAAATATTTACTGTGCGCTCTGACTCACCGCGCCTCGCTGCCCGGCGGCCGGCGAAGCATGCTGGGATATGTAGTCCGCGACGCCCCCGCCGAACGGACTGGGGAGGAGCGTGGATGCCCTCTCTCTAGCGGATCTCAGTGGGGCAAGCAGCCCCTGCCCCAGGCTGAGATGCGAAGTTGGGGATCATGGGGATTAGGGACCACAGCGCAAGCTTGCCGCCTCACTGGGCCCCGGAGATCCTGCATCCTGCTGTGCTTAGCATCACAGTATTAGTAGGCGCGCTTTTAGGGGACTAGGAAAGCTTTGGTCCTACTCCACTGCCCTAAAGCCCCGAGTCTTGGAAAACGCCCGGTGTAGCTGAGCATCTGCCTTTCAAGGCGTTGCTAGAAATCACCACCTCCTGGAAGCCGTCCAGAGCTCGCAAGGCATCCTTGCCTGACTCTTGGCCGGTCGTGCAGGAAGAGCGTCTAGAAAAAAGACAGCCCCTGCTCTGAAGCCTTGGAGTCCCCTTCCCTTCGACTCCCACTTTCCCACGCAAAAGAAGAAAAACTTCCAGTAGCCTGTCGGCGACAGGACCGCACGGAGCACGTACGGAAACAGCCACGACTGCCATTCCCACAATGCCCCGGTTTATTTGCATCTTTCTGTCCCAGTGACGTCACCTGAGTGAGGCCGCGACTGTACCAATGGGCCGTCACGGGGTGTTAGGACCTGGCCATATAAGGTAAACAAAGCTGGCCGCCCAATGAGGTGGCGGCGGGGGCGGGCGTATCACGTGATATGGGGGCGGGGCGGGAGCAGGGTGTGGGGTGTCGCAGGCCGTGTTTACAGCCCCGCACATGCCACTTCCGGTTGACGTTGCGGGTGGGCGAGTGGCGAGTCGGAAGCGGAAGAGTCGCCCAGAAGCTGGGGGTTGGGGAGGAGAGGGTTGGCGTTGTTCCCTTCACTGTTTTTTGCTCTCCGTGGCGTCGCTGTGCGCTCCTTTAAGCGCCGTGACCCCCTGCTAAGTAGAACCAGCCGGGATGGGGGCGTTAGGTCAGAGAAATCGTGAGCAAAAACGGGGCACTCATTATACCGACACTACCCTGAGGAAGTAAGGCAGGCCCCGGGAGCCGACTGCGGGCTCCTGAGACGTTTTAATACACCCGGTCCCTTGTTCTTTGCTAGGACCGCTGAAGTCCTAAAGGCGTGGGGCCCAGTTGATACCCAGGGAAGTGGAGTTCTGCCTAGCCTCTCACTCCTAGGGGGTCTCTGATCGGGTGACTGCAGGAAGATGGGAAGCCGGTGGGCAGGGGACTGAAAGGGTAGGGTTGTACGGAAGGAAGGGGTGGGGAGGCTGGGAGGACTCTTAGAGCTGCGAATTTAGTTTATAGGTAGCAGCGGGACAAGTGAATGTCTTTTTCTTAGGCGTCTTTCCCATCTGTCCACAGGAAGTAAGGTTTCAACCTCCTTGCTGCCTTTTGAGGGTTCACTTAGCAGTATTCTTTCCAAAGCAATAGCACCAAAATATTTTTTGCTTTTGCCGAGAACATGCCTTTATCTCTAGGAAGCATCATGCATGTGCATTATTGTAGGCAAAGCCAGCACACAAGGAAACCACAGTAAGAGGCAGCTTTGATTCCACTGTTGCCATGGAGACTGTTAACAAAGCATGAAGGAAGGTGGGTAGGATGGTAGCCAGACAGACCTGGATGGCATTTTTTGACTGCTGTTCCTTTAAGTTCCACTCTTGTGTGGGAACTCTCCTCACTGTGCAGTGTGGGACGGATGAGCATGACGGACCTAGCACAGACGGACCTCTGTGTACAAGACCTGACATGCATCTCTTTTCGAATCCTGCATTGGGCACACTAGGGAATGTCATTCCCATTTTTATAATTAAGCGAGCTTACCGTGTATTTCAGCCTTACATTTGTGACGTTTAGAGCTTCCTTTCTGGCAAAGGAAGCCGAGTATTGGGTTGGGGGATTTTTTGGTTCATGAATGTAGGAGCACAAACAGACAGCCCTACCTTATCTAGTCACCTCAGTGGCTTTTGCAGCCCAGAAAGAGCTACTCTATTCAGGCCTTGCACTGACAGAACAGAGAGCTGACAGGAAGGTCACCCTGCTCCCAAGTTACCCCAGCCAGCTTGTTTTTCCCAGTGGTGGCAGGGAAAGAAAACAACATTGTTTTCAGCCACCATTTATTCGGCTAGAGGCTGGACTTTGGATTGTTTAGAAGTCTGGGTCAGAAGAGAGAGAGAGTAGGGCATTTCCAACCTTCTCGTACCTGAGGGTCAGATAAGTTGAGAAATGTCTCAGTTCACAAAGCTAGTCAATGGAGGTGTGCTGCTTCTAGTCTGCAGGCTCCTTTATTCTGTCATTTGATCTCTGTTGCCTGACTCATGCCTGGCTCGTAGTTCCTACACAATAAATACTTGTTGAATAAAATTAATCCTTTCAAATGTTGATAGCGGAGCTGATTTTCCACTGGATGTGGACAAACACAGAATATTGCTGGGGGGCCTTTGGAATACCTGAATTCCAACTCTAAGAACAACATTTAGTGAGATGTCTGCTTGACAAAACACACCTGCTGTGCTCATTTCCTTGAGACAACCAGAGCCCTCCCGACTTTCCCTTTCCAAGATCAGGGAAGGCAGTAAACTGAATTCAGGGCACGAATGCCTGTGTGTTAAAACATTCATGTAGCATATATATGCATAAGAGTGTTAGGATTTCACAAGAAGGAACTTTGCTTTTTCGATTTTTAGAGGAGACTATACCAGGTTCAGGTGTCTTAAGCTCACTGATCAAAGAGTTCAACATATTCAAAGTAGAAAACGTGGATCCCACCTCCCAGTTGCAGAGTATGGTCTGTTGTGGCAGAGTCGTCAAGGTGGTGGGAGCTGAAGCAGCTAGTCACATTGCACCGAAATCAGGAAAACAGGATCAACGCTCACTTCACCTCCAATTTATTTTATAGTTTATTTTATGTTTATTTTTTTTTGTGTTTATGTGGGTGTGTGAATGCCATGGTGTAAGTGTGGTGTGCAAAGCAACACTTTCTGGAGTCCATTGCCTTCTACTATCTGGGTTATAGGGATCCAGCGCAGGCTCAGTGGTGAGCACCTTCACCTGTGCTTAGGGGCCCAGGCTTCTATTTTATGCAGTCCTGGGTCCCCTGTTTAAGAAATGCTGCCACTCAGCACAGTTAAGATGTGTTTTCCTACATGAATGAATAATCAAGACAGTCCCTACAAGCATGCCTATGAGAGCATCTCCAGGTACTTGGAGATTCTGATAGATTGACAATCAGCATGAGCCATCGTACCATCTCTCTACTGTGTGACTGGAGTAGGGGCACTTTTCTTCTATGTGGAGTACTTTCCTCTTGTGTAAATTGGGAATGAAAATAGAAAATGGGATGCCAGAGTACTAAGTAAGAGAATATGTATAGATCCCTCAGGCAAGATGACAGCTTATGTGTTTGGTCCTGAGGTTGGGTGTGGTTGTGCATACTTACACTCAGCACTTAGAATTATGAGTTGGAGGCCAGCCTGGGCTATAGACAGGCATTATGGGGGGGGGAGTATTTAGCCAATGTAGATCTTATAGGATAGATATGAATATGCTCAGGTTGCATCGAACACCTGGACTCTTCCTCGTGACATATGGGTCGTTTCATTTTAGCTTTTAATTCTTGGTGAAATTGACATTCTGATTGAGATATCCTGGTACAGTTGCACATGCAAGTTCAGTGAGCCATGTTGTCGGTGGACTCACTTCTCCCATGCATCAGACTGGTTGCTCGTCAAGAGTATGTTGCTCTGCAGCTTTGTCATGGCTGATGCACTTGAGCCAGGTAGCCATGGTTCCTCTGAAGCTTACGTTGGTTGCAGTATGTGCTGTGGTCACAGAGGGTAGTGGAATGCTGAGGACCTATGTAGTTCCCAGTGACTGTCTTCAATGCAGAGTTCAAGACGTCTCTCCCTTGGGCACAGCTGGTGAGCTAGATGTACTGAAATTGCATCCTTGGTGAGATTCCATAATCAGGGCCTTGCTTCCTCTAGACACACCTCCATAACAGTCATTAGTGTGTGCTAGACCTTGTGATTCTAAATGTTTATGATGAGATCATGGTTTTTGTTCTCAACTGGTCTATAGTGCTAATTTGCTGGTGTAGTTTTGAGTTTGAAGAAATTCAGAGATCTCTTAACACAATTACTCTAGAGTAGCATTAGCCAAAGGATAACCTAAAGCTTGACTCTTCAGGGATGGAGGAGGTTGCCTGGGTGGGAGGCACAGTAGAGGTGGATGGTAGAGCCTGCCTTTTGAGGGACAAAGGCAGTCCAGCAGATAGACTCTACTTTAGACTGTGGATCTTTGTTTCCAGTGTAAGGAATGAGTTTCCAGCCAGGAAATCTAGCTTTTCATCTAGCATCTTAGGATGCCCATTGATACCCCTTAGTTGAGCTTTGGAGGACCTCTGGTGTCCTGGAGGTTTCCTGCTAGTCTCAGCAACATGGTCTCAGAGGGAAGTCTGGTCTCTGGTGAATGGCAACCTTGAGCATGCCCTCCAATTGGATAGCCACTCTCTCTATTGCACTGGTTCCAGGGCTAGCCCTTTATGGTTTGAATATTATTATATTCAGTTATTTATGGTATTCCATCATTCAGCCATTCTGATCACTTCCTCACACTGATCTATCAGTTCTTGATATTTTCCTCCGCCTTCACCGGACTTCGGAGGGTAGCAGTAGGCTGAGTTGGCATGAATGTCTATGTCCTCCACGCCCGCGATGCGGTGACTCGGGATGGAGCCCATGGTGCGCGTTTCTGCTGGCCAGCCGGAGAGGAGCGGGTGACAGCTGCGGAGTCCTCACGCAGACATGGCCCAGGCCAGGCCGCATGGACGCGCACCCACCGCATGAGGATATTTTCCTCCTCACTTGAGGGTCTTCACTCATCAAGGCCTATGTACTTCACCTTATCTACAAGGGACAGTGGGAGGATCCTGGACTTTGCATTCAGGTGTAGTATAGTTTAGTGTGTACTATGGTAAATTCACTGATACTTCACTATCTGCTGGTCTCTCTAGTTGCTCTCCTGAGACAGCAGGTTCAAGTTGAGAGGCACTTCTAAGAAACTCAACTCTTCTGGAAATCATAAAAACAAGCCTTGGCATACTCAAAGTGCGTGTGTGCATGCGTGTGAAAAGCCAGGGTATAGCTTGTAAATTGTAATGTTACAATCGGTACCCTGATTTTTCTGAATTTGCTTTTAACATATTTCTTGCAGTCTGCCCTGCTTTGTGCCTCCGTTTCCCTGTGTGTAAACAGGGGAGAAATCTGTCTTCTGAAAATTACGTGTCCATTGTAAATGTTTTGACTTTTTGACCAAGGCTCAATCAAGTTCTGCATTCCTCTAAGGTTACCCAGTTCCCGTCAGGTTAAAAAGGTATTCCCTTCGAGGCTGAGGACCGGAGAAGAACCTTGGGAAATAGGGGAGAGCCACTGTAGAAATGTCGAGATTTTCAGACCTGGTTCACATGGGAGCGCTCGAACTTCTGAGAGTGTGTAAATGTCGACAGAAGATGAAGGAACAGAGACATTCCGGTTTCAATATCCAGCGGGGCCGCAGAGGTTAGCGTCGTGTGAAGGAAATAACCCCGCAGCCCGGGCCTCTTGGTTCACCCCACCGTGGCCACTCACGTGAGGGGGTGGGGCGCAATCCTGGGAAGCGTAGTGCGCAGGCGCATTGGCGGCCCGCGTGGACTCCATTTCCCCTGGAACTGCGGGGCGGGGGCGGGGGCGGGGCGGGGCGGGGCTCCGGGCCTAGGCCGGGGCTGCCGGGGGCGGGGGCTGTGGAGAGGTGCCGAGGCGGCGGCGGCGGCGGCGGCGGCGGTGGGTGCACGTCCGTGCGGCCTGGCCTGGACCATGTCTGCGTGAGGACGCCGCAGCCGTCACCCCCTCCTCTCCGGCTGGCCCACAGAAACGCTCACCATGGGCTCCATCCTGAGTCGCCGCATCGCGGGCGTGGAGGACATCGACATTCAGGCCAACTCGGCCTATCGCTACCCTCCGAAGTCCGGTGAGCTTCCGAGGACTAGGACCGCGGAAGGGGGCTGGAATGGGGAGTGGGGACGCCAGGAGGCCCGGGGACTCGACGCGCGAGCGCCCTGCCCTGCCCTGCCGCGGACGGTCCTTCAGTGCCCCTTCCCGGTACCTGTGGAGTTTGAGGCGTGGCTGCGGCCCTGGCTGGCCCTGCTGGCTGCAGTCGCACCTTTCGCCGCCCCTTTTTAACTGGTGACCTTGGGCCACTCACTTTGCACAGCCTCTGTATGCACCGGTGCTTGGCACCTCTGGGATCAGACTGCATTGGAGTGAGGATTGCCTCACCCCTCGGGGTTGCCGTCTTTAGAGGCATGAAGACCGGCCCGGGATTGTGACAACGCATTAGAATTTGGACCCAGGCTTTTCTCTTCCCCTGCGAGTGAGGGACACTAGTGTTTGACTTAGGGGGATGATTGATAGGGAGGTGCTGGGTTCCATTGGAGGGCAGGATAATGGTTGGAATGGTTAGAGAGAACTACTGACCTTTCCCTCTTGTTCAGCGCAGAGACGCACTGGTAGATTATGGGAGCTGGATGGAGGCAGAGTTGGAACCAGCATCACATGTGGGATCCGGGGGAGCCTTGCTTTTATTCTCATTCATATTCATTCTCTGTCTGTCTGTCTGTCTGTCTGTCTGTCTAGGGGAGCCTTGCTTCTATTCTCATACATATTCTCTGTCTCTCCTGTCTCTCTGTCTCTCTCTGTGTATGTGTTTAAAATAAGGACAGAATGTCATGTAGTCATGTAGGCCACGATGGCTCAAACTCCTTATGAGAGTGACATTGAGCAAACATTGGGCCTCCTGCCTCTACCCTCTCAGTATTGGGATTTGAGATGTGTACCACTTTGCCCAGTTTTATGATGTGCTGGAAATTTGAACTCAGGGCACTGTGCATGCTAGTCAAGCATTATATTAACTTAGTCACATTCCTAGACCAGGCCTTTATCTGAGACAAAAGCCCTATTATGTATCTCTGGCTGGCCTGGTACTCAGTTCTCCAGCCTTAGGCTTCTGGTGCTGAGATTACAGGTGGTCCTGCTACACGAAGGGATGCCTGTTACCTTGTCAGTTACAGTTACTTCTTCACAATTTCTTGGTGGGGTAGGACACTGAGCCTTTAGATCCAGTCTTCTGAGTGTTCAGTGTGATGTTTGGTCTTCAGGTGTTTTCAGACCAACCCAGCCAGATTTCCTATGTGGTTCAGAAGATTCTACTCCCATTAGTTGGATGGCTTGTTAAACATCTCAGGCTGTGCTTCAAGACTTGTTTTGGCCTAGGGACCTGCATTTTTAAGCTAATTTTCTTTGGTATGTTTGATGCCCACTCACGTTTGAGAAAGTATTCTGTTAGTGTGAAGATCTGGGAACTCCCAGGATGAAAGGACAGGAAACTGGCACTATTTAGTGACACTTTTTAGTGAATGGGATGGAATCACGTGTCAGTGTAGGGAGACCTCCTTGCCTGTGTACATCGTTAGTAGTACAGGCTGCAGTTCCAGAGGTTCCGGTGGAGACTTAGTGTCTGCACATCGAAGACAACAGTTGTTGTTGTTACCCCTCCACTGAGATTCTCTTGTTTGTCTTCTGCTGAGTGACCTTGGTTAAGTTTGCTTATTAGCATCTCAGTTTCCTCTTCTATAAAAAGGGTCACTAATTTGTAGTGCTAATCTGTAGGACTGTGCCAGGCACATAAGAATTCTTCTGCAGATGTTGGCTACTATAATTGCTTCAAAGGTAACTAGGTGACTGGCCCAGACCCTACCTGTATTTGGCAGTGGTGTGACAGATAGTGCAAAGCTAGCTTACTGTGACATGTTCCCTCACCTGGCACCTGAGCACTATCAGTGTCCCTTCACTTAGACAGTTGCATGAAACAACAATGTGTGGTCTGTGCACACACTACAGATCCACAGAAGTAGGCATTTTTGATTGCTCAGACATTCCTTCTGCCTGGATGGGGTTGCAGAATCCATCTCAGAATGTTCTAGCTGCATTGGCTAGACAGTACTGGCACAGCAGGTGAGGTCGGTCGGTCAGTGGTGACTGTCTGTCTGGTTTTCCCCCCCCCCCCCCCCCCCCCCCGTGTGTGTGTGCGTGTGCATGTGTGCTTAAAATAACTTGGGCCACCTGGGCTTGACTGGGCTGCCATTCATACATTGCTGAGTTCTGGGCCTGCCCAGTCCAAAGACTTTTGTTTGTTCAGTAAGTGTTTGGTGCTGGCAGATGACTCCTACTCTGTTTCATACCTTTCTGGATAACAATATAAACAATATATTTTTCATAGTTCTTCTCTCCTAGTCTTTCACTTACCATGGGGTCCTCAAAATCTTATGTACCAACTGGGGATGAAGAGATGTTGAGGAACACTTGAAGGGTACTCCCATGAATTGTTCAACTGTACAAAATTGTATTTTCAGCCTTCTGCTGGTTTTCTTTATTTGAATTTCAAGGAAAAGCATGCTAATTTTTGTTGTTATTTTCTTTAAGGCTACATTTATTTAGGTGGTGGACATCTTTAGTCCTAGCTTTTGGGAGGCAGAGATAGGAGGATCTCTGTGAGTTCTAGGCCAGCCTGGTCTACAGCTGCATAGTGAGAGATCCTATGTCAAAAAAAGAAGTATCATTTTTTATTTTATGTTATACCCATATGTCCTGTGGGAGGGCATCGGACCCTTTGGACAGACAGCTGTTATTTGCTCTGTCAGTACTGGAAACTGAAATCCGGCCAGTTACAAGAGCAACAAGTACCATTATTACAGCTCAAGCAATTTTTTTAAAACAAATTTTTATTAGATGTATTCATTTTTTATTTTACATGTGAATGTTTTGTCGGTATGTATGTGTGTGTGCATCATATGAATACTTGGTGCCCATATAGACTAGAAGAGAGTGTCTGATCTCTTGGAACTGGAGGGAACCATCGTGGGGTGCTAGGAATTGAACCTGGGTCCTCTGGAAAAGCAAGTGGCTTTAACCACTATCTCTCCAGCTCCCCAAGTAATGTTTAGCATCTCATGCTGTCCAGTTTTCTTCCTTAGGGAGTTTTATTATGTGCTGTCAACAGTGAGAACTTGAGTTCATATCTGCTTTTCTTTCATCCCATTTATTTTACTCTTAACAGCTTTGTTGATGTAAATTGTGCACCATGTCCGTGACCCATTGTAAACGTGAGTGGATTTTTAGTCAGTGGGTGGAATTGTGCCCACACTTGTGACCCTTCTCTCCCCAAAGTCACTTTGTGCCGGGTTGTAGTCAGTGTTAGTAGCATGAGCAGTGTTCAGTTTTCTGTCTTTGCAATTTTTCTTTTCTGGATATTTCATATAAATGGAATCATACAATCTAGAGCTGTTGTATGTGTGGCTGGCTTCTTTTACTTAATGTTTTTATGTTTTTGGAGGCTACACTCATAAAGTTAGCTTGGAATTTCCCTTTAAGAACTCAGGACCTAGCTTTTCAGTCTCTCAGTATCTGGGGTCCCTTCCTCTGAAGTGGGAACGTTCGAGGAAATGTTGAAGTGCTGAACACTCTAGGTTCTCTAGTGCATATCTGTGACCACAAAGGTGTTCATGCCACCTACAAGTTTTGCTGACCTCGAATTCTGTGTAGACCAGGCTGGCCTTGAAACTCACTGAGACCTTATTGCCTTTGCTTCCTAGGTTCTAGAATTAATTTAATTTTATATTTACCAGTGTTTTGTCTGCACGCATGTCTGTGTACCACAAGCTTGTCTGGTGCCTGTGGAAGCCAGGAGAGGGTGGCAGCTCCCCTGAAAGTCTTCTAGAAGGGCAGCCAGCTCCTAAGTACTTAAAAAGATGTTTTAAATTGATTTGTTTATGTGAATAAGTGTTTTTGCTTACATGTGTGTGTAAACCACATGAGTGCCCTGGTGCCCTTTGAAGTCAGAAGGCATGTGACCTTTTGAAACTGGACTTAAAGATTGTTGTGAGCCACTATGTGGTCCTCTGTAAGAGCAGCAAGTGTTATCAACTACTGGACTATCTCTTGAGCTCTTTGATTTGGAATTTTGTTTTTGATTTCCAGCAGAATCTTACTCTGGAGACCATCTGTCCTGGAACTTAATGTGCTGCCCTTGAGGCCTTTCTCTCATGGACATCCTCCTGCTTCAGCTTCTCATGCTGGGATTACAGATAGGATCCACCACATCTGGCTCAGTTTAACAGTTTTTAATGAGAATAATGCTTTTGGAGTAATAATTAAGAAAATTTTGCCTAGCCTAAGATTACAGGTTCTCTTTATATTTTGGGGGTGGTGGTGGTAAGTTAGTGCATGTCGGTATGCATGCTTATAAATGTGTGTGAAGTTTCCATCCTTGCCTTCCTTGTTTGCTCTCTGCCTTGTACATGAGGCAGGAGCTCTCACTTGAACCCAGAGCTGGCCAGATTTAGCTATTCTAGCTATTCAGTTTGTTCTGACATACCCTAAACCTTCTGAGGTTGGGGTTGCAGGTGGGCCACTGCGTTCACCCAGCATTTTTGTGGGTCCTGGGGTCCACACTCTGGTCTTCACATGGGCCACGCAAACCCTTGACCATCTTCCACTTGGTGTTTAAGTGTGACATCAGAGAATATCAGGCTGCAGTTGGTTTACTTACACTGTGTAGATCCTGGGGATTGAACTCGGATCATCAAACATGGTGGCAAGTTGAGCCATGTTGCCATGCCTTCATTTCAGATAAAGCCCACCCTCTTTCCATCAAAGTGCTTCTGTATCTTTGTCAAAACTCAGCTAACTGTAAATGTGAAAGGGTTTATTTCCAGATGGCATTCTCTCCCTTTGCGTCCTAACTCTTTTCAGTGTTTCTCAACTGAGACAATTTTGTCCTCCCATCCCCATGCCCCTACACTTCCTGGGGCTTAGATTTGTCAGTGCCTAGAGATAGTTTGTCACAGCTCAGGGTGTGTATGTGTTATTGATATCGGATGGATACACACTCCCCAAAACAGAATTTGGGGGTCC